CCGCGTGTCTACTGACCCTGCCGTACGGCATATTAATGGGGGTCCAGGAGTACCCGGAGGTGCCGATCACCTACTGTGAAGAGGAGTGGACTCACGACGAGTCCCGCAAGGCTTTCGGCATTTCCACCTGTGTCCTCCAGTTTATCATTCCGTTTGTTATCATAACCTTCTGTTATGTGAGAGTTTGTGGCAAACTCTGGGACAGAGCCCGAGCCCGACCCGGGTCTGTGTCGATGCGCAGGGAGGAGATCGAGAGGGAGAGGACCAGGAAGACCAACGGAATGCTCATCTCAATGGTAGTCATATTTGTCATCTCATGGCTGCCAATCAACTGTTATAATCTGGTAAACAATTTATATACTGATACTATTAAAAACATTTTTACAATAAAATAAGCGTCTGTTTGACTGTGCTAGGTTAATATTTGAAGTAGTTTAGAGTTTCAATTTACTGTAAAAACTTTTTAATTAAACCTATTAATAGACTCGTAGAAAACAAAAATATCAAAAAACTTTTAGCGTTTAACATAAATAACAGAATTCTATGGCATATATATATATAACTTAGTAATTATTTTAATGATGTTTCTTTTATTGAGAATATTCTGTGCATTGAACAGTGGTGTACACTATAACACTACAGTACACACACTATACGCACATTTACTCAAACGAGTGCTAATTGCAGTGTAATTATAGAAAAGTCTAAAAGCATTTCTCATTCACAATATATATATATATATATACTGCACTTAACACTAGGCTCCNCACATTTACTCAAACGAGTGCTAATTGCAGTGTAATTATAGAAAAGTCTAAAAGCATTTCTCATTCACAATATATATATATATATATACTGCACTTAACACTAGGCTCCAGAATCGTAACACAGAATATAAAGGGAATAAAATACAACTAATTGCTAATTAATGTACAAATAAATCTCGCACTCCATTCAACCTACTGTTCCCTCTATTGCTCAATAGGTTCGGGACTTTTACACTCCGGCGTCGTACTGGCGCTATTCGCATGCATTCTTCGTGTTGGCGCACGCGGTGTCCATGTCTTCGACCTGTTATAACCCATTCCTCTACGCCTGGCTTAACGAGAATTTCCGCAAAGAATTCAAAC